TTACCTAACTTTCTAACCGCCAGGCGATCCATGGATCGTGGCAATCTAGCCACGTCATGCCAAAAATTAGAGTGCTGGACTATTCAATATAACCCTTTGACAGTGTTTGCGCCGCAAGACTCACGAATATCTTATTCACACCTTTAATGTATACACATACTATATAATGTGTCTGACTATTGCGTGTCGTTTGTTATTGCCCAACGCCTCTGAGTCTATCAGAATTTTTCATGCCTTCGCAAAGCCTGAAGTGTAAATATCAATAGCCAACGACTGGTTGTAAGCTCCATCTTTCTCATGGAGAGTTAATCATTTTTAGAGAGGGTCCCATTAATTACGACCTCCATGAGGTAAGATATATCCAGTCTTTTCAGCCGGACATTTACTGGGACTTGATGTCCCCGCGTGGTATTATTCATATACATTTGCGTGAAAAACCGAACCTTCCTAGCTCTCAACACATGGCGAAGGGGCACACAATGCGCAGATGCTTTTTACTACCGCTATCAAACCATACTTGGGATCAGATAAGCTGCTCCCCAACCAAGAGATCTTGTCTTTCTCCATCAGCATGGCTGAGGTCTATTTTTATAACGCGCTAACAGAGGTTCCAGTTCAAGCACTCATCCGATCTTCGTGGCAAGAAAGCTGTGAGCTTTTCAGTACGACAACACCGTTCCTTTGAAAGTGATAGGGTTTTCACGATAGTATTGGTGCGAACACATTTTTATGATGACTGTTCGCGAAGTGGGAAACCGCCACCATAAAAGGTTCGCTGCCCAAAATATAGTCCATTGGTTCTCGCTTCTCATCTCGGGCGGACAAGAACCTCAAATGCACACGCGACATCTGCTGCTTTAAGGGTACAGACAGCGGTTAATTCTATTTACTGAGGTAATGCATATTTAGTGCCCAATCACGCGCGCGGCATCTTACCTTGAAAGACGCATTGTTGCTCTGATTGAAGTACAGCAAAACTGGTGGTTATCCTTGTCTAGACAAGAGGGATTCACTCCTAATCGTTCCTTACGAACCGGGATACTTAACCTCAGTAATCTCGGGGCCAGGGCGCTCCTGCGTGCGTCTTACTAGCGCATTATCATAGCTCAAAACGAGCAATTACCACTTTCAGCATTAAGATCACGAAAGACATGAGCTTAAAAAGATGGTGAAGCTGTCTCAAAGCCAGAAACCTGAACACTTATCTTCCAATCACGCAGCGAATACAGTCTTTCGCAACTCAGTCGTGGGGTTGCCGTGCACTTTGCACGCAAGAAACCTTGACTCTCAAAGTCCGCATTGATCCCACACAATGATTTTTGCCAACAATTATATCACGAGCGAAACCGAGAGCTTCTACTCCGATCCATGTGTCTGATATGTAGATGTTGAGCAAACATTTCTACACGTTATCTCTCTCTAAAGATTGGACTTTCTCTATAGTTTGGCATTCTCCGCGCCCTCCTTTTAGAAGTTTCATTTTCATCGGAACATCGATACTTTGGCATTTTGTAACTCATAATCACACCAAATGCAATTTCAATTGTACCAAAAGATCAAAGTACAAGGCTAGAGCACATATCTCGTTACAGCATTGGTATATTAAATGTCAAAGCTAGAGCGCTTTCAACCTCCATTCTCACTGTCGGGTGAGCTGCGCACATCGTGAATGCTTCAAAAGCGGCGAGCGGCAAAAAGTGTAGAACATGACAAAGTATAGCAATAAAGCTTATCTTGCTTGTCAAAAAGCATCCTAATTGATAACAGTCTTCGAAAGGCTGCAAACGACTATGTCAATTCATAAGAATACTTTTGGCGGAGCCGACGATACGGAAGCCGCTCGACGTGCCACCGTATCCTGAGTCAGCAGGTCACTACGCAGGCAAAACTAGTATGCATTTTTTGCTCGATGGTGGCTCTTTGTCATCATATGAACCTCTTCAGGAGAAATGTAATGTAATATGCATCTTGTTGTGGTGTACGCAAGCAATACACCTTTGTTCTTAACACTTGAAGAGAATCTGCAATGTATGGCGGTGAGCTATCGTGGCGGAGTGCCATGATCTGGTATTTGAAACAGCACCGTACTTGTAATGCTTGTATAGGCTAGCGCCATAGGCGACATCATGGGCCGCGTGGACTGCTAGCTACATGTATCGCGTCAATACAGTACATCAAATGTAATGATATAAATTCGAGCTAGTTGAAATTACAAATAATTCCTTAATTTGACCAAGTACAATAGGATTGTGAGACTCTTGCTTTAGCGATCTAGAAATGACTGGTTAGTTCATCATCTGTTCGTATACTGTCAATGAGTTATCAAGTAAAAGCTTCCACTGTGTGTTGCTTACGACTTCTCGCTGTGGTCACTGCCTCTAGATGGACCAGCAGCAGCCACATCAGTCGGAGACACTTCAAAGAATTCACCTCTGTTATTGCTGCTGTAGTCCGGTGATATTGCTGAGGATAAAGTGGCAACAGTTTAGCATCACCCATTTACGGCTTTTGAAGTCATAGCCAAATAAAACAGACGCCCGATTGGAGAGTTGCTAAATTCATAATTATGCTAAATGCGGATCTCAAACCGCGACATTGACGTCAAGGCGGGCTTAAACCTTGCCTTCGATATATTGAACTATCTGCTGCTAACAGCTACCGACCATCTCTCGAACTTAAAGCAAGGCTTGGCCGCACGACTCAGCTGCATACCCGAAGAAACAATGGCAAATAGTGTATCGAGTATTAATCGTCAATGATGCCAGGGTAATCATACCAAAGTGAAACCGTACACCACCGGAGACATCGGAGTGAGTGTTGCTTTTTAATCTTTATGCATTCCAATGATTCTTGCCATATAATGCTCGCGTGATCAATTTTTTTAAGCTTGTCAATCTGATAAAGCCCCCAAAAATCGCATCGCGTGTCCATGGAAGATGATGATTGTCTGCTGAACGCCTACACAATCGAATCGATGTGTTCAAGGCTCCCAAAGCAATCAAGACCGGATTGCCCATTTAATTCGGAGTTAGTTCAGATACACAAACGTTCCCTCGCAATCAAAATTCGCTCAGCGTCTTGTTGGTTCATACGAGTAAGAGCTAAATAGCGATTGTTAAGCACACATCGCCATTTGCTTTAACTTAAAGAAAATAAAAAGTTCCCTTTGGCCTTACTAGCACACAATCGATTAGTGTTCAATTTTAGCGGTATTTGATCACAGTAGTCCGTCACGATACCAGACCCAGTACATTCCAGCTTTGCATTTAGTCTGAAGGGCAATAATTCAATCGATCCACTCTTCGTTACATAATATTGATGTGGCTAGGCTATAAAATACAAGTAAGCCTCACTTACGTAAAAATACATCTTCATACCAATCGTGTTGTAAAAAATATTGCTTCACTTTGATGGATTTCAAAATCAGCAAGCTGTGGTTAATATACAATACTTTATAAATGAAACAACTGAACGCTTTCAGTAAAATGTTTTAAATGTTGCATTTGGCAAGTGTTTGACTTGCACTAATGCTATCTGTAGATCAACCTCTTTTGAATGAGTGGAAAGCGTCGCATTCAACGCGAAACACAAACAATCGATCTGCAAGAGTCAGTTGAAATGCGGGTGATGAGGGCTCGATGAGCGCAGCAGAGGCGATAAAAATCAGCCAAGCTCAGAAGTCGAGAGTGATTGCTCAGCAAAGCAGGCATTTACGCCCTACGATTCTTTTTGCGTTAGATTGAAGGAATAAGTTCTCACGCAAAATCGGCCGACTAACCAATCACAAGGAATCGTTTGATATCAGTACGCGCAGAGCGACCTATAGGGGAAGAATTGAATACTAGTGTACATCATAGAACTTGAGAATAATAGCTCTCCGCCCTATAGAAAGCGACGCCCTCTTTTGAAGAGATCAAGGTAATTGAGATAGATTTGGAGAGGTTCGATTACGTGCAACGCGCTACTATCAAAAGTAATAAAGATAACGAGGAAATCGATTAAATCGAGAGCGCACACAATATCCGTGCATCTTGAAACGGAAGCAATTCTACAGGTGTCAACAGTTCTCTCAAAAATTGTTCCGTAAACCTTTTGATAGTCCAAAACCAGTTGTCGGATAGTCCAAAACCAGTTTTTTGATTCAGACATTCAACAGGTAGCATCATCAATTCTTCATGCCAACATCGTGATCAAAAATTGTCGTTATTATGGACAGCGCAAAAGCGCGTATGCAACCACATTAAGTCGACCAGGCTTGTGCTTCATCTCAAAGTTACATTTTGCAAGGGTTGATGACTGTCTAAAATTTTGAGTGTGGCGACGTTGCGTTGCGCGCATGATTAGTGTCGACATGAAGCCGAGCAGTTTTTTTCCTAAACTGACAAGAGTGTGGTAGAGGCAATGCCTACAGCTCGGTTGTCGATATATATACGTGGCTCAAAAAGAGCAATTACTGGATCAGCAATATCTGCGCACGAGCTAATAGTGTTAATTGAGCAAGACTCTCACCGTATGCGTATGAAGCTTAAGTCAGACCGCTGGCTCCGGTAGGGAGCTAATTATCCAGTAGTATGGGCTGTTTTCTGTCTTTCTATATACGCTTTTCGCTGCTGCCAGTGTTTTGATCTTTCGTAGATCGATTGAACAAAAGAGGTGCTGTCAGCGACACCGTTCCCGATAAATATACGTCTGTTTCGAGACCAGGTTTTGGCGACATCAATTACATGTGACAATCGTGTCGGATCGAGATCGCGCCATATCTTAACATGTCTGTTTTGACGTTTCTAAGTTGCGCGACAATCTTTTACAATATCGGAGCAAGGTAAGCAAGGCGAGGTTACTGGAAGGCATGCTTGATGCAGCATCGCTTGCAGACGTTTTTGGCGTTCAAGATTTAAGCACATACTTAAGACTTCCCTTCGCGATCTGCCTTCTGGTGACAGGTGAGAGACGCAACCATTATATAAACAAGTGATTATTGTGATTTGCCCAAATTATTGACAGGCATAAAAGTACCCTACTGTTTACGTTGTGTATCTTTGACACAGACGTTAAGCATCAAACTCAACAATTTTCTAAATGTCAAATTTAAAGTTTTAACATCAATTTATACTGTAGCAAATTTTTGTTCGTTTGATTAATAATGAGTTAAGGAATAAACACGATATCAAGATATAATATTAAAATTTGATTATGATCCAAATGTACTTTAACTATTCATGGGGAGGAGCCGCCTTACGTCATACTGAAACGAAATCTATGGAAAGATTTGATTTCAATGAAGCTCTTCATCACAACACGCACAACTAAACTTGATGTATACCAGTAACTTTCTTATAGTGCTCATTGGGCTTCATTCGACATCAGCATTCTCGATTGACACGAGAACTGATGTCGTAGCTTCGAGACCTGATGTAGAAGTGGAATTGGATTTAGACCTCAACTCAAATATGCAGTGGGATGGTTACCCATCATCCCACTCAAACCAACCTAGTCATTCGAAGCTGCCCGAAGGTGAGCCATTGGAATTCAACATTCATCCAATCAAAGGTTCGATAGCCCCATCTGTGCCATTGTCGACAGTATTGAAACCTCATAGCTTTAACTTTGGTCGAGGCCCAGCGTACGTGACAACAAAAGCGGTTGAAAATGGTACGGAACTCTTGTCAGTACCAATGAGTCATGTCATGAGCAAGACTTCTGCGGCAAAGGGGCGAGTAGGGCTGTTACTGGAGGCAAATCCAGACTTGCCACTACCAATCGCATTGGGACTGCATCTGCTAGAAGAAAAAGCACTTGGAGTAGCCTCCAACTTTTTCGACTTAATAACCACATTACCAACCGCAAATGAGATCAATAGTACATTGTTCTACTCTGAAGACGAGCTCAGCGAGATGGAGGGGTCACAACTGCTACGTTTCACGCTCGCAAGAGATCAAGCTGTCGACGCTTTCTACGATGCACTAGTCCAACCGGTAACATCACGTGAAGCTGTAGATCCTCCGATTTTACAAAAGGACGAATTTACACCAACTCAGTTTCGCTGGGCAATGGGTGTCGTATGGTCATGTTCTTTTCAGTTGGGTGATGACGAAGCTGACGTCGTACTGGCACCTGTTTTGAGTACGATTGGTATCTGCACTACATTTGATAGCGACGGCGGCATGACGTGTCCCTCGACACAAGTTAAAGTAGATACTAATACGCAGAGATTGGTGGTATACGCTTCTGCACCTCTTACAAAAGGTCAAGAAGTGCGTCTCTTCATGCCTGGTAAATCCTCGACACAACTCATGCTCAATCACGGCTTTGCCAATGAAAGGGCTTTACCGAAGCTGGATAAATTGGACTTGACTGTGACGCTGGATCCGAGTGATGCTCTTGCACAATTGAAAAATTATTTGCTACAATCGCAGCTCAACGAAAGTACCAATGCGACGTATGCCTTTTATTATGGAAGCTCAACAATTGAAGAAACAGTTGCAGCGTCTTTGAAAATGAAACTCTTGTCAGGTGTTGAGCTTGCACATTACAAAGAGCTCTTGCCAAGGTCAGAAGAAAGTGAAACTCAAGATGATCGACGAATCATAAGTCTTCGAAATGAATTTGTGTTCACACGTGCTATCATCTCGACGTGCACAGCACTATTACAGCAGTACCCGACATCCATGGATCAAGACGTCCAAGTCCTTGCTAAATTAACTCAACAAAATGATGTTGAGAGTACACGCAGGGCACATGTCCAGCGCATTTTGATCATAGAGAAAAAGATTCTGAACGAGACGATGGAGATTGCACTGGAAGAGTGGAAAACGCTCGTGTTTTCAACACATCCTAATTTGATCGAAGTCTAACTTACTCATTAGGCTAACGTACCCATTTCTTAGCTATACTGAGCAAGAACAGATAAGAGTTTTTTAGCTGATTATTATGAAATCGCTGTTTTCGCTCAACATTACCATGGTCGTGTGGCTTGCTGTCTTGACACTGACACTAAGGTTCACATTCCATTTGATACCTCCAAAAGATACAGTACGATTATCATCAAACACAGCATCGTACTATCTTCGAAATACGAGAAACAAATGCCATGGTATTTATACGAGATGCTACTTTGCTTCCAAATCCTCAATTCGATCCAAAATGTTGGACCATTTTTATATTGTATGTTGCAATTCGACTGTAGTCAGCATTAAGTTGTGTTTTGGCAGATTGGATCGATAAGTATTTCTCTCCGTGAATAGTATCGCGATAGAGGACACTGATTTGACCAAATTGGTGGGCTCAGACAAGGTCTTGAGCTCTGGCCTATCTCCCATTTCGATTCATTCATACATAACTACAGCACAATTATCATTAAGTCGTTTGATGCAATCGAGTGGACTGAATGTTCTTCTCCAATATCTTCTCATTTCTGTGCGCTCAGCTAATAAGCTCGATTTGATTTTACTTGAAATATATCCTCGCTTAAATCACTTCTTGATTTTATACCAAAACGCATACCACGACCAATTCGGCATTCTTATGTTGCATTATTTGGTAAAGTCAATCTCACTGGTTTGTGAAATTATCCTTTCTTTGCGGTAAGCTTGTTGAACACATCACATTGGTCTTTTGTATTATTGTCCTCATGATGAGCGTATCAGACCTCTTAGCAATTAAGACGCTACGTACTGTTATGTCTCCAAGTGTGGACGAACGTATGCAGATATTCTAGCTAGTCGACAGGGCGCACTCCAATACATGGCTTTTTATATAAGTCAAGGTGATGCCGCTCCATCCAAGCCTTTCAACTTGAGTTGAACAGCAGAGATTTCGTGAGTCAAGCAGGTTGAGCCTTTATTCGCTTATCTTGGGTTTGAAACAAAGGGCTTGAGGCGTCCCTGATCCGAATGGCATCGACCGTCAAGCTGCTCGGCTATACCAAGCCTTGCATGGCATAAACTCTAAAGATGCTGAGAGATCTTACATTACTGGCTTGTTCGAGTAAGAACAGTCATCGAAAATTATACGATTTATTAGTGTAGTAAGTAGCCTTGTAAATCCAAAGAACGGCTGTGCATGGACTTTAGCACGCTAAATGAGAGATAAGACTCCGCGACAGACACAACCTTCCACTGGTTTCTTGTATGGAAGTCTGACATTTTCGAGGTAATTATTTCGAATGAAGAAGGTATCAAAAGCTGGAAATAGCGCCTAGATTATGGCATATATGAACCAAACTCAGACAAGTTGATTCTAACGAAAACAAAATATATTTCAACAACATGAAATTCATTGATTTGCACTGACGACGCGTAAGCTTACAAACATCTCTATAAGATAATGAAAGAGAGAGAATTTTGAAGGTGAATACAGAGCGTATTAATCAGTCAGATAGAACGCTTTGTCCTTAAGCACGAGTTCACACTCCGTGTTTTTCGTGATCGATACTCGAGCTGTGTCGATATTTTTCCATCGTTTGCAAAGCAGTTCACGACGCACAAAGATCATAGCACTCATTGTCTTTGCTTGATGGATGCACAGAATACACACGCTGCCCTTGTTAATATTGACACGTCCGTCCGTGACACTCACTGGGATCTTTCGTACAACTTGGCACGTATTGCACACAGCTTTTTGACAAACCAGACACCGTCGAAGAGTAGCACTCGTTCTCAGTCCTGAAAATTTGTTTTTGCATCGACCCACGCATACATTCATTGGGGGAAGAGATGACCGCTGTCCGGCTTTACTGTTGTCATGAATCATCCACGCCAGTTTCTTCGAATATGCAGCGTCACTTGTCATTCCGATGCCCAAAACACAATTTACCAGTACAGGGAAGGCAGCAAACTCTGGCACGAATCCCATCGGTGTCGCAAATCCTTTCATGTAGAGTTCAATCTTGCCATTTGGTAATTCTGTCTTTAGCCAGCAAAGAGAACATTTGGCCTGAATGTAGCTGTAATTTACGTCTGGCTCCGATAAGTCCACTGAGTGTGCGACATAGTAGCCCATGCGCTCCCCACGATTTGTAGTAGTGATTCCCATAGAAACGACCATGCAAACACCTCGTGTCTTGGTTAAAGGAAGCGAAGTACCGAATGTACAGCGTGCGATACCACAGAATCGAAAGAGATCTTTTTGATTTGGTTCTGCAATCGTTGCGAGCCAGTGAAAATTATCCATCATATCACCAATAACTTCTTTTCGCATCTTGGCCGAGTCGTCACTATCAATGAAGCAGCCATACATTTCGTCATCTAACGTTCCTTGTAGCATCCCAACGATCTTAACTGAAGGGGCCGATCTACATGGAATGAGCTGTATCTTGTTGTCCACGACTCGAATCGACGGATACGCTGGTCTAGGACCTGATCGCTCACGATATACGATGAGGTTATCACGATGACCAACGTCTTTCCAGGCAGTGGAATCTACTACACGCTTTTCAATGAATCTAAACCGGTTGTAGTAAGCTAATGTGTCGTCCACCACTAGGTCAGCCAAGTTCGCAAGACGCTGCCCTTCTTCCGCAGAAAGAATCAATTGGTCCTGTTTCGAGCCAGGCAATTGGATGTCCTGCTCTGATAGATTGGTACTGCCCATACTTTTTTCACTTGTGCAATTCAAGGATGAAAAGTTAAAGTGCTGAGTTACATCGACCGCCTAGAGTCTCAAGAAGCCAGCGAAACGATGCCGTGGTGGCGAACGCCGAAGGATACTGACGGGTGGATGCACTTTAAGAGTCATTCGTCGCTGTCAAGAGTGGCTACATCGTGTGCAGAATATAATCGAACTTTCGGCACTCTTTTAAAAAGGGTTGTCTTTCGGATGACTTCCCTGGATGGGAAAGGCGCTGCTGGGTCTTAGGCAGATACAAGCCAGACACGACTACTAAGATCGTACCAGATATACCGGGAATTCTATCAAACGAATCACAAATATCCAGGTACGGTATACGAGACGGTCGCAAGGATGTTTCTACTCTATGACTCATGTGTTTGAACTTTAGCTTGGACTTACATCACTCGCTACATTGACGCTAGGAGGTGTCAAATTGTTACTATTTTCTTGTGTCTTCAAAAGATGTTTTTATTCTTCGAATGTAGTCGTTTGTTTCCATAACATCTATCTGCGTCCATAAGTAGCTCACTCCATGACTTCTAGACACATGTGCTGACCTTCCTACGTTAGCTCTGAAACTTTTACTTAGCAAACGAGGACAATTTAGAATTCCTCATAACATTCGCTCGAAGCTTTTGTAAAATAAAATAAATGAGTTGAGTAGTTGAAAAACAACTCGGAAATGGTGCTTGCAGCATTGCTATAAGCTTCAAATTACTACACCGAATATATTCATAGATGTATAGATGCGGTATGAACTGTATCATAGTGTCTTGGAACACCGTCACATTGCAGCTGAACCATGTGAAACACTGGATCAGAATTTGTACAGTATGAACTGGTCAGATAAAGCGTACCGCTCGATAGATGACACGCGAGTTGCATCCGGAACAAATTCTACAAATGTTCTGAATGCTTATATTCGTTGGATTGGGAGTATTGCTCAGCTGTATAAGCGACCATTGCGAATGCAGGTACACTTCCATAACTCACATCGAAGCAGGATAGAACTTTTTTTGTGTTTTCACTGCAGTACAACGTAGTATTCACCCAAGTAATATCGAAGGATACCATTGTGAAAAGCCAGGTCGACACTTTCCACAAAAAGTCTGTAAGTCAGTTTACATTCCGTTGTTACAAAGCAATGCTTTACACACCACAAGCTCATGTCAGTCATCGCTACGTTGTCTCTTTGGCTTATGCTTTATCATGCGACAGGATTGTCTTGACTTGACCAAGGTGGCCAAAATGGTGACGATTATAAAGTCAAGCGTTTTTTATCCTTGTATCATGTAGGATATTGTAAGAGGCTAGCGGTATTCAAATGTCGATTAATATCCGACGTTCGCTTGTTTGATCATTTGGCGGTTTTGCTACTTGCTACACAGATTGTGATGATGATATCACGGAGTGAACACAACATAATGAAATAAAGGCTGTCAAAATTAATAATTGTTAGACTACCGGAGTCCACACGTTAAGATAAAATAGCGCGGGATGCTGGTAGCTATCCCACCCTTTTAAGGACGAAGCACCGTACCCTTCATTACAATATTAGGCTTTTTCGGTCAGTAGGGCCTCCACCACCAACTATCACACACCCATTGCGGGTTGGCAGGGCGGTCACACCCCAGGGTGTGATTGTTCGTCCATTTTAGTGACCTATCCTCCGGCCTCCTTGATTCGAATCCAATAGGAATTGAACCAGATACCTCCCGGTCCCAGGCCATTAATACTGTGAGACCAGCCCAACTTTACGATCGCGCGTTTGCATTATGCATTACTAAATCACACTAATGTCTCGGAAAATGATGTCATGGCAATCGTACTGACCCAATGCGTCTAACGAACCTCTTATACTAATAGCCAGCCAAGTCCTCTTATCCGTGCTAAGTTTCAACACAGGTTTCTATCTCCAGTATACGGTGCAGTTAAGCTTTGAGGGTATATCGTGAGAAGATTTTCACTTCTGATTGGCGTGTCCAGGATAATCGTATGTGATGTAAGTCTCTCCCATATACCGCGAACAGAGGCTGTTGTCGACCTGGACTCGATAATGTCAGGGAATGTTTGTACAGAGTTGCAAAGAATCGAACCAACAAATTGGGACGTTTGGACAATGAAGGAGAAGCTTAATTCATTATTCGCCATGGATGGATCCGTCATTGAGGTCCTGGCAGAGTATCGAGTACAAGGAATGATACAGCCATTTTATAGGCTCCTATAATATCTATAAAACTGTTGATGAACAATTATCGCGGCGTGGTGATGAGAGAGAACTCATGTACATTGCTCCGAGATCGGGGGCACGTCATGATAAGCTGCTTCTGGAACTTAGTATTGTACGCAAAGCGAATTTGCGGCAAGCCTAGGCTTCTTTACTCGGCGCATCAGAAAGGCTAGCGGCAAGTAGTGAGATGTGAGTGCTTGTAATATGCTATTTCTAGCCACCATAACAACACAAACACCAATTTATAGAAATGTTGTGCTGCAGAAGAGCATGGTCAGCTGCACTTTGTTTGGTGCCGTTGACCTCCTGAACGGATACTATCAACTGCTAGAGACATTCAGCTCAGCACAGTGACTCAATGATTCATTCGAGCGGGATGTTTCGGTATGGCTGATTATGCCTTAGAGACTATCTGATGCATCAGGAACGTTCAATTGACTAATGACACAGCTGCTCAGAGCCTATCGCGGCTACACATGAATAACTTGCAACAACATACCTGTTTGCATTTGTCCAAAGCACGTGGTGTTTGTCAAATTTAGGGTAAATCTATTTGGCGATAATGCATGCAGGCTCTCTGTTGACGACAATTATTGTCTGAATCATTCTGTGCAGTAACAAACCGCTGTTGCGCGGCGATACAACTTTGGCCCGCATGGATTCAATAGAGTCGTCAGAGAGCACATTGATTAATGACTCATGTTAGTTTCGGCTACGTAAGGCTGTATCTTTCGAGCCACAAGAGACTGGAAAGATCTAGGGATACACCAGCCTAAAATTTATCCCACACAGAAGTGAGACAACCCTAGCTTCTTGAGCGCTACCGACAGAGACCGACAATCCTGTGGCTAACCCCGGTGGATTTTTGTTATGATTGTACGTTGATTAATTTCAAGAGTCTCGCCGCTCCGAAAGCCTTAAAAATTTTTCGATGTGCCGAGACTTTAAAGATCCCACGTCGTTATTGTTTCTGCCTTGGCATAACATCTTCTTATTTTCCTGTGGGGAAATTCTTAGTCGTCTAGCGCAGCACGCTTCCGTTTATCGAAGCCCAGTTCTATCCAGTATTTAGATAAAATTCGAGCCAATACAATATCCTTGACTTCGCAAAGCCAAGCATCAAACGATGTTTAGGTGTGCATCTGCTTTATGAAAGTTGGTCTATAAACTGTAAGACGAGTGGAGCGATCTGCCAACTTTGTCCGCTGTGACACTAGTCGATACTTTTGACATCTTTGGTACCAAACATACGATCCCTATGAAGGGTACCGATTTCCCCGATCGCTGTTGCTCTTAACACAAGCGGTATTTCTGAGAGCTGAAATTCGATTGGTTGGTCTGTATGGTGTACGGTCCGCACGCATAGGCATGCAAAGGCCCCG